AGCGTCACTAGTGCACAAAGTGGTACTGGGTGTGACGTGCGCGCGCCAAGAGCAAAAATTTGTTATCTGAAACGAGATTTTAGTCTTAATGTTTTAAATTTAATGTCCTAACATTAACACTGTGTCTGGCGCAGCAGGCATGCATGCACACAGAGAGGGAGAGAGCAAGCGGCACAGATAGAGAGAGGGAGACAGCCAGATGTTGTGGCAGATCTCTAGACGTATGGTTGGTGAAATGTTGATTTCGCGAGTGTACACACGCGCCGCAGAAAATAAATACTTAGGCTAAATTGAGCATAATATATACTGAGTGTACTTCCCACCTATTAAGTAAAACAGCTTAGATAGCAGAGATTTTAGCTGAGATGGCTATGTAAACATTATAATACTTCTCTCTTGACTGTCGACGGAAATGCGGTAAAGTTATGCGTTTCTCATTGCGTGGTGTACACAGGTCGAGTCTACTATACGAGGAAAGATTGATGTTAAGATTACTGTTGAGACAGATTTTGTTTCTGACAATGGGCACTCAGGATCGCGGGGCGTCGAGGGAACGTAAGAAGGTACGAGCGCGTGGTCTTTACACATCCCGCTTGTTATTTTGCCGACTGCAGTGCTTTGCGGTTTGAATTCTGCGATTTGCAGATTTTTTCTTTCTTGCCATCCTCTCAGGTGATGTGCATTTACGGGTGAATGCGTTATGATGGCAAACCTGTCAGTTATTGCCTGTGATGTTGTTCGTGTGTGTGAGGAATAGGTTTTCTTGGACGTATAACCTAAAATTAACGTTTGCCAACCGCTGGAAGTTTATTCATAGCATAGTAAACACTGCAATAATGTTCGTGTGCAAAGGCTTCCCACATTTTAAATGTTGGGAAGGTATTTCAAACCAAATTTCCATGATTGAGATTAGGTGTTGCCGTGATTGCTGTTTTGTATATTGTATATACTTATAGAGAGAGCGAGAGAGATTATGTGTATTCAGTGTGCATTTCTTGCCCTCTTAAAACGCCCAACAAAAATCTGAAGAGCCGTCAACAATGCGTCTAACTTTATTAAATATTATTTTATTTATTTATAGCGTTCTTGTTATTTTTATAACCATTCGAATCGTTGCCGTGTAATAAAAAAATCGAATCGCATAATTCGTGCCGCGAATAGAAAACTTTGAACTATAACAGGCGTAACTTTTGTGATATGGCAAGCATCCAAAACAAGGTGATACCATAGATACATACAAACACAGTGTGTAGTGTGTTTGTATATATCTGGGGTGATACAGTCTAGACACCAACTGAGATTTCATTCGAATCAACAATCACATCCAGCAGACGAAAGCGTGGTCGTCATGGGCGAGCGGTCGGGATTCGCCAACGGTTACCATGGTTACTGTGCGGGCATGAACGCCGCAGCTTTCGCTCTCAGCTTCCCCATCTTCTCGCGATCGTCTGCCGTCATCGTCGGCTTCATCCTGATCGCCGTCGTCAGGAACGTGCACTTGTTCTTCCACCTGGCGAGCGTGGCGCGCCGCTGCGGATTCCGCTCAGGGTGCGCCTTCATCTCCGTCTCTCTTAGCAGCATCTCGTTGCGTGCAGCAGAGAGAGTCTCCCTCCGCTTGTGCGTAGCGGCGGCGGCGGCGACCTTCCCGGCGGCGCTGTATTGGAGAGTCTAGGAGGAGAAGCGTCGCCGGAGTTATAGGTCACTAGCGCTGCCTCCGCATGGCGTACGTTACAGCGGGAGTAGGATAATGGGAATTGCTCACAATGTCGGGAGCGAATAAAACATTGTTGGTAGGAATTATAATAATAATAATAATATTAATAATAATAATGAGATGATGATGATGATTATATATATATATATATATATATTAGAATGACGTGATGCAGTTAGTACTACTCTAAACTTTTACGTATGTATGTTTTTTTTAGGATTCTGGATTCGGGGCTGTTGATAACGAGACCGCCCAATCACATCGGACGTTACAAAATGATCAGTCATCAGAAAAGAGAGGCGGCGACAAACAGGTGGGTCCAATCAACGTAAACTGGTCCGATCGGCACTTTCCCGGGTGCTCGTCGGTTTGCTAGATAGTTGCTCTCAAAAGTATCGCGATACGTATCGTATCATGAAGGCCGTATCTCGATATGGTTTAGATTGTGAAGGCTGTATC